AATGACAAATTGCAAAGCACACAGAGACATCGCAAACATCGAGATGAAAACATCTCAAGTTGCCTAGTGTTTTTCCAAAGGTGAAGTCGCACATCACACGAACAGTTTCCAGAAACCATTCAATGCAAAAAATTCATTTAATAGCAAATTGCAAAGTACACCGAAACGTTATAAAAAATCATTGAATGCAAAATATCATACAATCCCACATTGCAAAGTACACGGAGGCTTTCCAAAAATACACGGAGCCAATTTCACATTCGGCAAGACACGACTCAAATCACAATATTTTTCGCGATTTATCCATTTCGTCGATAAGATAGAAGGCCTATAAAAAAAAAATCATTTTTTACGAACTTGCGTAAATGATAAGTCTTCCACTGAGAACACAGAAGGTAACAATTTCGACAAATCATCCATTTTCGTGAGCGCCTCATATCGATCCTTCAGCGCCAAACAACGTCGAAAYAMATGGGCCAAACACACATACACTCTGGGAATAGCGCAATTAATGATCATTTTGTCGAACTTGTAGTTATGAACAAGCCGGCGTTGACAGCACAAAAAGTAATCATTTTGGCAAATTTGTGAACATGAACGGTTTAATTACAAATGCACGACATCCAMAGYGCGAATATTTTTTTCATTTCTTATACGAAAAAAACAACCAGCATTCCGTGGAGAGCACGAGATGTATTCARGGGATAACAAAATTGGTAATCATTTAGTGCACCGCTGAAYCTGTAAAATAACTTCAAGCAGACATATATTCTAGCGATAATTGATTTCCGAATAGAGAACAAGTTCACAATTGTCATAAGGAACCAACAACCAACATTCAATGGAGACAAGCAGAGTGGTTGAACCATAAAACGGCAAGCCGACGTTGACAACACAAAAAGTAATCATTTTGGCAAACTTGTGGAGATGAACGATTTAATCACAAATGCACGACATCCAAAGTGCGAATATATTCGCATTTCTCATATGGAAACAACATTCAGCATTCTGTGGAAAGCACGAGATGTATTCCGGGGATAACAAAATTGGTAATCATTTAGTGCACCGCTGAATCCGTAAAACAACTTCCAGCACACAAACTTTAGCAACAATTGGTTTCTTAATGGAGAACAAGTTCGCAACTGTCATAAGGAACCAACAGACAACATTCAGCGGAGACAAGCAGAGGGGGTGAACCGTAAAACGAGGCGGCACACGCAGAACAAGGGTGAGTCAAAACATGTGAAAGCTGGGCGGTCGAGGTGGGGTGGGGTGGGGGAGGGGGGCTTTCACACCACAAAGTCTCGCGAAAGAAAGAGATAAGCACGAAACAATTTGGCGACCAAGAATAAATCGTTGATATATTTCACCAAGATCATGAGTGTAAACAATGTCCACAAAAGGACAAAGATGTCCCATGAGTAACAGAGGAGCACAACCTTAAAACGAACAAACGCAGCACGGTGCTCCCGCGGTCTGAGAGGACATAAGGAGAACAACCCGAAACTAAACAAAGGGAGCACAAAGCCGGGATATTCACATCCGATATGTAAGCGTCTACTTAAAAGATGCTGCTCCACGTGACTGAGATATTTAAATCGGCATCTAAGATTTTACTTCACGTAAGCGTTCGTTGCAACCCTCTAGCTGATGTTGCGCGGTAAGCAATGAGAACAACCCGAAAACAAACAAAGGCAACACGGCGCTGCCGAAAGTCCTACGAGTAAAGATGACAGGTTCCTCGAAATGAAGAACCCTTATAAAATTGCTACAGCACGAGGCTGGGATATTCACATCGACACCTAGGTGTTTACTTGACCAAGACGTCCACTGCAATCCAGTACCTCATCAAAATAACAGCACAACTCGAACCGACCAACTGGTAGATCAAGTGGGAATAGATTCGCACTTCTGCTTATGGCGTTTCGAAAAAAAAACTACGTGAATTTTAATAAGAGTGGTATTATTTAGAGCCTTGGAATATGTCCACCACAATCCTCCGCCGGATGGTTGGAATGTCGCTTTGGGCTATCGGAAATGGTGGCGGATAGCCGCGTGCAAGAAATGAAACGAAGGCGAGCATGAACACACCGCAGCTCGACCTGTCCGACTGTTGAGAGACACCACGAACAACCACCTTGGGTTTCTGGAGATCCAGTTTCGGTTTTTGACCATAATGACAAACTGTTTCGTCACGGAGGTATTGCGTGAAGTTCGCAATCACATCGGAAGAAAAACCGCCATTGTCTTTTAGAAGGGAGTCGTAGTACTCCAACCGTTGTTCTCGGACACACAATAGGGTCCAATGCACTCGATGTTTATGGACAGGAATCAAGACCATCTCGTACGAGAAAATATCCACATCTTTTGTCCATGTCGCAACCCTATCATGTCGATAGCCGCCACCGACGAGCTTGGTATAGAAAAAGGGACTGAAAATGTAAAGAGAGGGACACCCAGGCAACGCAGTATTGGCAAGCAAGGCCAAGTACGACTCCACCACCTCGTCGGAAAGCCATTCCCCCTGAACAAGATTTTGAAGATTTTTTCTGCTCAACGGAATTGAACTGGCCCCTTTGCGAACCAAAGAAACCACCTCGTGGCCGTTGCTGAAATCTCCGCAGACGTCCTGCAACATTCTCAAGTTCGTAGCGCTAAGTTCCTCAGTAGGCAAGGGAACATGAAAACATGATATAGCCCCAACTGCACAAACACCCAGGAACAAGTGTGAGGAGTGACCAGAATCACCGGGGCGAAATGGCTAAGAACCGTCTGCCCTTTTCCCAGAAACGTTGTATCCCCGACTATTGAATGTGTCCTTGGCGATATACTTAGGACACGGGTCTTTCAAGATACCCCGTTTGGCATCGTCATGAGACCCATCAGACAAAGCAGTAACGCTTTCAATAGACGCAGCCAAATGTTTCCGCAAACCTTCCTCCTTATCTATTCCACAAGCCTTCAGAACCCTGACAACTCTCTGGGAAAGGCGAGGCATCTGGACCCTTTTAAACAACCCTACACTTGATGACTTCTTCGGTAAAGCGGCCAATGACCTCCCTGAAAGACATTTCTCGCTCACGGCTTTTACAGGCTTCATGGGCAGGGACATTGACATCCTCACACCTGTAGAACATAGAAAACAACCCACAACCCACAAACTTTTTTTTAACAAGTGGTAAAAGGTACATGAGCCGATCACATCAATTTGGACGAACACAGAGCTGACTAGTGACAGATATGCGAGTGCTCATATTCACAAATCTTACCGTTCTCGGGAACCCTTTGAGGGAACTCGCCCTCCTATCGCACCACTGCGCCAACGTCCACGGACGATTCCACGTTCTGTACCTCGGCCACGGCTGTGTCGCTAACCAGCTCGGTGGCAGCTGAGTCGCTAGGCAAGTCGATGGCTTCATGAAGCACCATTTCACGACCGGTACTAAGGACAGACGCTCGATCACCCTGTTCTGCACCTCAACGGGTGGACGGAGAATCATGATCTTTCCGCTCTGGATCCATCTTGATGCTGACGGTCACCTCACCGCCTTCTACGGAGGATTCGTCGTTCTGCACCTCGGCCACGCTTGAGTCGCTAACCAGCTCGGTGGCAGCCGAGTCGTTACGCAACTCGATGGCTTCATGAAGCACCATTCCCCGACCGGTACTGAGGACAGATGCTCGACCACCCTGTTCTTCACCGCAACGGGTGGACGAAGAATCATCATCTTTCCGCTGTGGATTCGTCTGGATGCCGACCGTCACCTCACCGCCGTCCACCACGGGTTCTCCGCCTTTCTCATCGCCATGAACCCGAGCTTCCACCGCGGGTTCTTCTTCGCCTTCATTGTCGCCAAGAACGGGAGTTTGCACAAACGTCCACTGACCTCCCTTAACGACACCCTCTCTCGTCGTGGCCACAACCGAACGACTGTGCAGAACCTCTTCGGACGTCCCGATCACCAGCGCTCCTCCATCGAGCCCCTTCACGTCTTCGCGAGCCGGCCAGTGTTGAGTCTCCTCTTCCCGCTGTAGAGCATGGGTTTCCCCCGGAGCTCCTGCACTCTCGCTGTTAGTGTCCACAGACGCACCCTCCAAAGCATGACGTTCACACTCGCTACCCCCGGTCTCCAACACTTTGCGAGACTGCCAGCGTTGACTCTCCTCTTCCCGCTGTACAACACGCGTTCTCGGAGAGCTCTCCTGTTCCTCAGGAGCCGCTGCACTCTTGATGTCAACGTCGACTGGCACACCCTCCGAAGCATGACGTTCGTACTCGCCACCCCCGATCTCCAACACTCTTGCAGCGGACCCCTCCAGCACGTCGCGAGACCGCCAGTCTCGAGTCTCAACATATGAGAACGGAGGTGAGCAGGGGAACCCTGTGTCCAACTGAAGATGCGGGAGGCAGGACGTCACATTTTCTTGGCCCCGTGAAACTGTCGCGTGAGGATGGCAGCAGGCCTCCAGGGCGATGTCAGCAACTCTGAAGCTATTCGGAGTTTGTGGCGGTCACTCGAGCTGAGGGAACTGAAGGTCGCTCCTTCGCTCCTTCGCAATGCAGGCATCCCGCCCTCCAGGCAAAACGAAGACGCAGTTCCTATCAAGGAATGGTCTCGCCGCTGAGGAGATGCTGCCGTATGCTGCAGGCGTACGCCCTCTTTCAGGAGCAAGGTGTTGAGCACATGAGACCTCTGCTGCGCAGGGCAAGATGAAATCTCCTCGGCATTGGGAAACAAAGTCCTCGTACACAAGTGCGAATCTACTCGCACTTGATCAGAGCTCTGGTGGCCACGTCTCGCATCTCGGAATCTCGACTCCCTACGCAGTGGGGGTCAGTTTCCATATACTGGGGACTCCCGGACGTTCTACGCTTTCCGCCCGACCCCTTCCCGCCCGACCCCTTTCCACCCGAGTCCTTTCCGCCTGACCCCTTTCCGCCGGACGCCTTCTCTCCCGACGATGTTTCGCTCGTCCCCTTTCCGGCAAATTGTGAGCCGTCTCCTCCGCCACCTCCACCGTCTCCTTCATCTCCCCCTCCACCCCTTCCCGGATGCTGACCGCCCGACGGCATGCGCCAGTCAATGCCACGAGATGGTGCCGTTTCGAGTGTGTAGAAAGGCGCTCGAAACTCCAACATGTTGTTGGCGTACAACTCATTTAGCTTTTGTTCTGCATACGCAGCGACGTCCGGATCGCTCCTTTTGTGGTTCATAAGACTCAACTGCTCCACCAGAGCATCTCTCGCCTTTCTCTTAAATGTACCCGCTCCCAGTCTCTTTATTTCACTCCACTTGCCATCGGCGTCCTTCATTGCCATGACCCACTTTCCATTCTTCACAGCGGGTTGGAATATCCTCGGGTGCCAGACGACGTTGTGTCCCTAGACATCCTCCGACGTGAACCGGTGATGCTTGCCGAAGAAGAAGAGTCCGTCATTCTCCCAGGTGTCATGGTTCATAGGGAGCTTGTCACAAGGTTCGTATTCATAGTCTCTCTCTTCCTCCCCGTCATCAGACGATTGGTCGTCGACTAGTTCGCGCCGAAACACACGCTTCAAACCGGTAGGGGACGTGCTATATCTCCGAGGACCACCTTCCCCTTCATCACCAACCTGTCCAACCACCCGAGGAAGTGGCATGGACTCGAAATCGAAGGTTTCAGAGTCGCTCAGCTCCTCCGTGTCTTCAGCGTCGAAAGGGTCCTCCTCGTTAAACTGCGCCTTGTAGTTTTCGAGGGTGAGCGGTTCGGCCATCAAGAAGTGAACGTGCTCCAGCCTTCTCAAGAAATGCAAGACAGACTCCCTGGGTGCATCGTGGTACCCATTCAGCACACCGAACACCAGGTTTCTCCGTCGACTGTATTCGAGGTCGGTCTGCGCAGGCGGTCCGGGTTGGAAAAGGAAGTCCCAAACCTCCGTCCTTTTGTTCCCCGACAATTTCCAATACATGTCACGTTTGGGATCCCAGTTTCATTCGCCGGTGGTCCAGACAAAAGTGCAATCATTGCGAGTGTCTGCCACACGTGTCTTCACGAACTCGTTAAGGTAATCGATCATGTTCACCTCGTTCTCCAACGCGACGACGTTCCGACCGTTGCGTAGGAGCTCCCACACGACAGACGCATGCGCCTTCCCAAAGAAAAAAACAGTTTGCCCAGCTTTGCAAAAGTTTTCGAGTAGACCAAGTAGATGGGACGGGTTCCGCTCCCTGTCCCTGTAAGCAGGTCCACGAACACTTGCCACGCCGCATTCCTCCCACAGGCTACGAGGGAACCTGTCCTCGTCGGCCACGTCGAAACATGCCACAGCCTGTCCTGATGGGTCCGACGAAGAGACAACTTTCGAGCGGGTCGGCACCGCGTGTTTGGCCGGACTTGGACCATGAGCACGGAAAGCCTTTGTCGGGCTACTGGCCGGGTAGACTGCGACTGTGTTGTCTGCCAGGTTCTCACCATTGAAAATCACGTACAGGCGGTCACACTCCTCAACCAGCATATTGCCTTCCCGGACAGTGGCATGCTTTTGTGCATGGCGCACCCACTTCCCTGTCTAAACGTAATGAACGCTAAGCCTGGTCATGCCTTTCAAGAAATCGAGCTCCCAACGAGAGGGGAAAAATACCACAAGTGCCTAGTGCGTTGGCGACAGTGTTTGGGGAACGCCTTGCAAGTTGGCAAAAACATCTTCTCGCCATTCTGAGAGGAATGTGGGATCACACAAATCGAGGACGTACGGGTTGCACACGTAATGTCGCACAATCTCACGGATCTTAGTGATACGACCGTGAGTTTGGGAAGGCGGGCAAGCGAAAGGAATAAGGCTGGTCACCCGGTTGAGGCTGGGCCATTTGATGTGCCTCACATCCCTGCTGACCCTGATCGTGTCTCGAACTTCTTCTTTCGTCCGTCGTTAGATGGAACTGATATACTTTTCGAAAGATTTAGGGAACTTGTCATCCTCGTACAATCTCTTCGCGTCGTCGAGGGACTCTTTCTCGTGCGGAAGACTACGTTTGCAAGTGTTCACGTACTCCATCGCGCCCTAAAAATGCTTTAGCATTTCGACCCACACCTGTTTCATGAGGCCCTTCGACCCGGACTCCTCCGGAAGCTGCCCCTCGGTCTGGAAAAAAAGGCTTCCGTAACGCCAAACACCTTCGTCCTCCTCCGTTTCAAGGAATAAGATGTAGTGAAACATACGGAGCATCACGCGGTCCACTTTCCTCGTTGCGACCATGTCTTTAATTCCAGGTTTATGTTCACGTCTCAGATGCCCGCCTGCGGATTGCACGAACACTCCCTTTAGTGCGAGACACTGCCAACAGAACATGTCCGCCTCCTTCACGACCACGAAAAACTTGTCGTCCGCTTGTGTTTTCTTTTTGGTCGAAGGCGGCAGGACCCGGACCAGCCACCCCATCTTCGTTTCACCAGCCACCCCTTTCGAGCCCATGTTCGGAATCGCTTGAAGACCCGGAGTTTTGTCTAGCATGTATTTGCCCGGCCTCAACAATGGCGTCTTCCCGTCGCCGCCCAACAACTTCCCCTCCACACATTTTTCGTAGAACTTCATGCCTTTACGGAAAACGTTATCACCGGCCGTCACGAGCGGCATCCACTGCCTCAATGCATTGCCAACGACAGCGACATACTCCTTGTCGGCGAGCATTTGCATTTTCTTTGCCAACGTTCGGTGAGCGTCGTTCGGACTCTTCCCCAAAAGCAGCTTTTGGAATTCGAAAAACGGTTGTTTTTCGGCCTCCTTGTCGGAAGGGTTCCCTTGAATGGCCACCGGCCTTCCTTCATTCTCCCATGTCTCCCGCATGTCCTCAAATGCGGCCTTCTGCGATCGCTGCTTAGACATCTTGTGTCTCGTGTTCTCGTTGAGACTGACCTGCACATACCCCGTGAAATTTACGTCGGAGAACCACACTACTCTCGCCGGCCACGAGTGCATCTTCCACAATTCGTTGCGGATGTGTTCTTTGCGGACGCCATTGTACTCCCACCCGTTGACTAATACGCCCAACCTCAGACCAAATTGAATGACCGGAAGGAAAGCAACGAGGTTTTCCCTACACTACAGAAGCAAAGTGCGAACTAACTCGGAGTTGGCGAAATGGAGGACGAAAAGGACGTAAGAGATGGGTGTTTGAAATGCACACGAAGCTACAACAATCGGGTAAAGGAGAGGAAAGACAGCAGTCCTCTGGCAGAGTGAGTTCGGAGGGAAGCCAACAACTTCACGGAAAGAGTGCAAATGAACTCGCTGTCCTTGAATCGAGGAAGAGGTGATTTATCTTCAGGAAAGTGCGAACTAACTCGGAGTTCTGGGAATGAAGTCATCTATAGCAAGTACCGCATTGGTATCGACAAACGGGAACCGGCGTGCAGTGTTGGGCTGAAGGAAACCGACGAATGAGATTGGTGTTTGAAATGCAAACGAAGTCAAAACAATTGGGTAAAGTTGAGGAAATACAACACTCCTCTGGCAGAGCGAGTTCGGAGGGAAGATGTGGTTTATCGACAAGTGCGAAGGGTATCGACAAGTGCGAACTAAGTCGCAGTTCTGGAGACAAAACAACAATTGCAAGCCGCAGTACTGGAAACGTGAAAGTCACGTTTAAGAAAAAGCGGCTTATCTTGGGAAAAGTGCGAACTAACTCGGAATTGTGGAACTGAAGACTTGGAAGATGCACGACATGAGCATCTACAAGTGCGAACTAACTCGCAGTTCTCGAGACGGAGGTTAACAACTCCTTCAGCAGTGCTGGTGGAAAAGTGCGAACTAACTCGCAGCTGTGGAAATAAAGAACTGACTTTAATGAAATACGTGTCAAACCTTGGGAAAACTGCGAATGAACTCACAGTTGTCACTCCTCAAGCAGTGTAGGTCGGAATCTGCGAACTGACTCGCAATATATCTATATATCTATATATCTATATATCTATATATATATATATATCAAGTTGGCGACCTCACAAGGGACAGGTGAGCGAAAATCGGGAGTTGATTCCGTGTTCAGTGTGGAAACTAGGTGTTGAATCGGGGTTCACCATGCGCAATGACGACTACAAGTTGCGAAGAGAATCGAACAGCTTTATGCAAACGTTATCATGGCTATGGCGAAAGGTAATCGAGCTGCGAAACGCGGATTGACTATGGCGGACGGAGGTGAAGGGTGGAGAAAAGACATCAGAACACATCGCTGGCGAAACGACAAAACCGGGAATTGATTCGGGGTTCAACATGCGACAACTCGGGGTTCAACATGCGGCGATTGTGGCGTTATATCCTGCAGGTGGAGACGGGACATCTGGGAACATGTTTGGACATCGGACACAGAATAGGACAACTCAAGTTACAGAATTTTACCTTCGTCGTGCGTTGAACGAGCGACCAACGTCGGGCGGATATGGATGTGCGACCACCGAACCAGGTATGGTGGAGGGATATCGAGCTAGGAAGAACAAACTAGCTATGGCGAATGGAAATCTAGCCATGAAAAGCGAGCTGTGGAGAGCGAACCGAACACAATGCGGCAACTGCGGACGGAGCGAAGAGCGAAGAGCGAACGGGCTATGGCGGAAGAAGGTGGGGGCTGAAGATAAAATATCAGAACGAGCGTGGAAGCGATAGCGCGACTTGACTTGTGGAGCGACAAGAAAAGGGATAACGCGAGGGCGACAACGCCTTTTATAATTTCCTGCAGCAGGCCTCGCGTCGAGATCAAGGTGGGGCCGTATCGATTCGCATATCGCACGCCTGGACCTATAAATGCCAGGGCCTATAAACGGGTAAGAGGTACCGGAAATTGTCAGCCGTCGATCAACAATTTTCAACGGCGCAGATGAACGGAGCCACTGACATGCCGGTGGCCCCAAAATCTCTTCAACTCTGGCGTGCAATGATGTGACAGTTCCAGAAAATAAAGGGCAAGCAAGGTCATTTTCGCAATTGTAATCTGGACCGTCGATCGGCATGATCCGACACACGAGGTCAGGCGCAAAAATCTATAAGGCGCGGCGATTCATTATGCGCCGAGGCGGTTCGTTGCGCGTCGAGGCCAGGCGACGGTTTATTTCGCGCCGAGGTGAGGCAATTCATTGTGCGCCGAGGTCAAAAACACTGGAAATCTATAAGTTTCGGTGTCGCTGTCATTCGAACATTTTGCAAATGTCAACGGCGTTGGATATCGATGCGCTTAGCCATGCACCATCGGCATCGATGTGCTTAGCTCATCGTCATCGCCAACGCTCGCCATGCACCATCGCCATCGATGCGCTTAGCTCATCGCCATCGTGACACAAAGCTATATCTGCCATCGCAGCCGTCCCGCTCGCCTGACCATCGCAACGTTGACAATCGCCATCACTTCCATCTCAACGCTGACCATCGTTATCGCTGCCATCGCAACGCTGGCCATTGTAACACGTTCCATCGCTGTGCGATCTTTCTCATCGGTACTCCATATGTCTCCATCGGTGCGCCATCGCTCTCCACCGCAGTCCTGGCCATCCCCCATCGCAGTTGTTGCGCTCCCCTGACCATCGCAACACCGACAATCGCCATGGCTCACATCGTAGCGCTGGCCATCCCTATCGTTGCCATCGCAGCGCTGGCCATTGTTACACATTCCATCGCTGCGTTGGCCATTGCTATGGCTGCCATCGCTCTCCACCATAGCGTTGTCCATCGCTTTCGAAGCCTTGGCCAGTGTTATCTCATCTCAGCTCTGGCCATCACTATCGCTGATTTGTTCGACACCTTGGCGCCTTTGCGATATCTTCTCCATCGCTGGGCGATTTCTCTTCATCGCTCTTGCGCGATCTCTCTCCATCGCCGCACAATCTCCCTCCATCGCTGAGTGATCACTCTCCATCTTACTCCATCACTGCGCGATCTCTCTCGACCACCGGGCAACCTCCATCTGTGCGCCAGAGGCTCTCCATCACTCCTGCCTGATCCCGACATCGCCATTGTATTGTTGTTTCAGGCCGTCGTCGGTGCAGCCTCCCATCACTGTGGAATCGCACGAAACAAGTGACAGGTATGCAGCCGTAT